ACCGCCTATTCCATTGATTTGTATGGTCTTCATACCAACAACTAAAAATTTTCTCAGGAAATAAATGGTTTGGGAAGAAATATGCCAACAAATTATTCACCACTATTAAAATTAATAGGTGAAATTCTTACAAATAGATTATCTACAAAAAAATCATGGTAAAGAGTAAAGACTACATAAATTGGAACATGAGCATTTTGAATAACACAAGCTAACAGTTGTGAAGAACTTCATTCGGTCGAAAACATTCAGTAAAGAGACACACACTGCAAGTCTGCAAACAAACATACTAACCAAGTATTTATAGAGCTCATCATATAGTTTCGGTTGTGGGAAATAACTTCTCGAGCATATTGTTAGAGAGGATGTGGTTTGGGTCGAGCTCCTTTCTCGCTTCATTATATGCATCCACAGGAAATCTCTTTCTAAGTCTTGCCTGTAAAGCAGCAAGCTCATCTTTGTCTTTCGGGACCTATGAGCAAAAGTTATAGATTAATGTTTACACATGAAAAATTATAGATTTTGCTGCAAATATTATGGAATTTTTCCCCATGAACACTGTATTTGCCTCGTGAAAATGAAACTTGCTTACTACCTCAATCTTAGCCCAATGTTCATAAGCTGAATAGTGATCCCACAATTTTTCTTGTGTCAAACGCCGGTAGTGGAAGAACTCTTCAGTAATTGTCTTTCTCTGACGAGCATCCATTGTTGGGAGATACATGATTATACCAACCTGTTTACACAAACAACATAAATATGCATATGCAGTACCTAATCCATCATATACAGACTATGTTTTGTAGCCAAATTAGCTAACTTATAGCATATTTGACTAGCTTATAAGCTTCTTGTATTCAAATAAGTTTGGTTTGATAGGACGAATTTTTAAAAAAGCTAAAGAAGCTTTTTAAACAAGCTTGTTGAAATTTTTCTAAATTTTACCACACTTTTATCATATAAACTAAATTTTCAACTATAAGTCATTAGCTCTAAGCTCGAAAATCACTTATATTTATATTTAAGTTAACTTATCAGCTAATTTTACCAAACACTTTCATCATATAAGCTAATTTTTCAGCCATACGTCATAAACTATCAGCTATAAAAACTCGAAATTCACTTATAAGCTATCGGCTAGGTTTACCAAACATAGTCTAACAGAAAAGTGAAAAGTCGAAGCTTTTACCAAACATGCCTAACTGAACCACCAATAACTAGAGAAATTACCCAAGAAAATATGTCGTCCCCCGATAAGCTATAAGCTGGACTCATGTTGCTCCTGCTGCTAGCTGTCCATCTCTGCTCTATCGGTGCAGGTGCCGGGATATTTTCCTTCTCGATAATTTCCATCAGTTTTTCTATGTACTCGAGGTCTTTCATACTAGGTTTCGATAAAGTCCCAGCTGGAAAGCATATCTCAGAGACCCATTGTTGGCCACCACAATCAAATCCCAAGATTTCATCACTCCACCCAACTCGATAACCCTCCGATTTTCTCCAATATTCAGCCTCCGCTTGATTCACCTTCACTATGTGTTCTTTATTCAGAGGATCCAAAGCAAGTAGCTTGTCTCTAAGTTCGGTGAGCGAAAGTTTGTTGATATCTTCCGGTTCATTCCCATCAGTAGCCTCTGATGTGACGAGTTCTTTCCTGTAAAGATACTTCCAAGTTATGTGCTTTTTCTACCATTTTTCTTCTGTTAGTTAAGTAGGTGTGTTTAGAAGTTACGGGTTTTAACTTTTACCTGTATTTCCTCAGCGATTCTTGATAAAGGTCTCTAACGGGCTGTACAGCTTCTTCCTGAGTATACTTTGGTTTATACTTTGGAGGGCCTTTCCATTTGGAAATAGGATTACACTTCACAACCACAACTGTGTCGGTATATGGAATATACAGGTATTTGACGTGCTTATTTTCGGACAGAAGTTTCCTGTAAAAAAGATAACAGGAGCACTTAATTTACTGTTTAGGAGATAAAAAAAAATTAACGCCATGGGCCACATTGGTTCACACAACCGATATCTGATAAAACATAGTGCAGCCTTATGTATATCATATCGAAATGCAGTTTAAACTAAAATCATTGTCAAAATCACAAGTTACAATCAAAATCTAGCTCACCGACTGTGAAAGGTTACCGTAAAAAACAAAAACCTCCAAAAAATAGCAATATAGAGGTATTCACCATTGTTGGTTGATAAATTATACTTATGACAACAAATGGTGAGAAAGAAACACATTACTTATGATTCTTCTTAATATCCTTCATGTTTGATACACTTGTGTGCTCCACAAGCTCCTGCCTCTCGACACACTGTAGAGTAACCTCTGCAACTACACCAAGTCCTCCAAGACCACATCGAGCTAAATAAAAGAGCTCCGGATTTTTCTCTTTGGAGATTTCTATTGTGCCCTTGCCTGGAGTAACCAGCTTCATGCTGATAACCTGCTCGTCTATTGGTGGAAGCCTTGCACCAGTGCCATGAGCCCCAACCTGAGATTTTTTTTGGCAATACACAATAGATAAAGCACATATGCTGAAGGAAATCATATGTTTTAAATAGTACTGGTTCTATTTTTCCTCTAAATTTAGATGTGATGCATTTACAATGTGCAACATAAACTATGAACCAAGAAGACCACCAAAGAGACATCTAATGTCACACACACACACACACAGAGTGGGGGAGAAGTGTAAATTTATAGCTCAAGTAATACTGTTCATCTTTTATCGGATTTGAACGCCTAATGCCGGGATGGCCGCCGGTGATCTTGTTTTGTAAAATTTGTCTTCAAACTTTTTTCAAGGAAAATATTAGTGTTCCTAATTTCTTTTTTTTTTTTTTATTGGAAATCATACAATTGATCTTATTTCCACCCCTCCAATCGTCGATTGCATTCAACTATCACTTTAATAAAGAAAAACATAATATCAAATATTCAAGCTCTTAATTCTCCAACCATCAACCAAATTCAACCAATATTCAACTCAAAACCAATCAACACCAACCATCATTACTACATTTTCATTTCGTAATCAACGGCACAATTAAAATTCATTTGTGCGATCCCCAAACAACTTCTCTACACTATTCTCTGTGAAAATGGAACAGAAGGAAATCAAAAGGCCATCTTTTTTTCATTTCATAATCGATCACACAACCAAAATTCATTTGTTTTCGAAAACAACTTTTCTACACTATCCTCTGCGAAAATGGAACAGAACGAAATAAAAAATGCGCCTTTTATCATTACACAAGGAAACATAAGGGATAATGAAACTATATGAGCACTGGTTCTTAAGAAAAAAAAAAATTTATCCTACCAACATTATTCAATATAGGACCTAGGTACTCACATTCATATATTGTAGTCAGCAAAAAGTTTGGTAATCTTTTTCAAAAGAATAATACTAAAGATTTCAGCACCTGCACAATGCCCCCAATCTGCTGCTCCCTAATGGAAGCAAAATTCTGCAGAGTGAGCCCATACTCTTTGATCCCATCCACAAGCTGCTGAACCCTAATCCCCGCCTGAACCCTAACCCTCTTGTTCTTCTCGTCCACCTCCAAAACCCTATCCATCAGAGCCAGATTCACCATCCCTAACCGGGTCAGCCCAATCCCGTTCGGCGAGAGGCCCGACCCGACGGGCCGGATCCTCTGCTTCTTCTCATTGCATTCCCTGACCACCGATTCGAGCTCGGGTAAGGACTCGGGCTGGAGGAACGTGCGAGTCTGGACCTCGTGCGTGCCGCTCCAGTTGGACACGGTGTGGAGATCGGCCGGGAGGGGGGCGTACCGGAAGAGCTGGGCCTTCTTGTGCTTGGCGTCCTCCGAGAAGGGGAAGGAGTAGTATGTGGCGGCGGCGCAGCCGAGGACGAGGGCGGTGTAGCCGATGTACTTGCGGAGCTCGGTGTCGGAGGTGGAGGACGGCGGCGGGGGAGGAGGCGGCGCGGAGGTGGAGCACAAGGGTCGGGGGCCGGGAGGGTGTGATGCGGAGGAGGGGGGGTTGAGGCGGCGGCGGAGGACGGTGTGGATGGAGCGCCGGAGATTGTTAGCTCGAAGCATTTGGAGGGGTTTTTGGGTGAGAGTGAAGAAAGTGAAGATCAAATGAGATTATCCAAAGAGAGAAATTCATTTTATTTTTTTAATATAATAAAATTTTACTCGGTATTACTAATAACGAGTCGAGATTGAGTCTTAAGGAGCCTATCTCGAGCTTTAACGAGTCGAAATATAAAAATTCTCTTTTCGAACCTTATCAAATTGAGTTGAGTTCGACTCATTAACTAAAAGTGCTTTAAATGAACTAGAACTCAGCTCGTTTAATAAAAAGTAAATAAATTTACTTACCTGATGTAATTCTTGGAGGATTATTAACTGAAAAGAGTAATTTTTTAAATATGTACTATGTCCAAATTTAGAGTGACAAAAGGAAAATGAAAAAAAAGAAAAAGAAAAGGAGAAAACAGTTAAAGGATGTGGATATTGCAGAGCAAATTAATATACCCACAATTCCATTATTGAGTTATCGCTGAACAGTGGCCACCACAAGCTCTGCTCATGGTTTGTCTAAAATAAATCTTCCCAGCTCGAAATTGAGGTTCTTCAGTTTCACTCCACTTCTGTCACGAGTAAGTGAAAATAATCTAATTCCTTTCATCGCTGTTATTTTCTCCAATTTAGCTAAGTCAACCTTACGAGATTCCATTACAGATTCATCAAGATTCTGATTTTAGAGCTAGGAAATCCTTGAAAACTTTCAGATTCTGCTGCAAAAACTTTATCTTGTTAGAAAAATTATGGGTACTCTACTCAAGACCCACAACAATCTCCAATATCTTCCCCCAATCCACTTTTTCTCCGATAAAGTTACCCCCTTTACCTCATTAAAGCCTCACAAGAAACCTCACAACAAAGGTATTTGTTCAAATGCCAGCTCGAGTGCCCTTCTCGAGCTCGTTCCTCAAACCAAGAAAGAAAACCTCGAATTCGAGCTCCCCATATACGACCCTTTCAAAGCCTCCATGGTAGATCTAGCAGTTGTGGGCGGTGGTCCCGCCGGGCTTGCCGTGGCCCAACAAGTCTCTGAAGCGGGCCTATCTGTCTGCTCGATAGACCCTTCCCCAAAACTTATATGGCCCAACAATTACGGCGTTTGGGTCGATGAATTTGAGTCGATGGACTTGCTCGACTGTCTCGACACCACTTGGTCAGGCGCCGTCGTGCATATAAACGAGAAATCGAGCAAAGACCTCGACCGGCCTTATGGAAGGGTTAACCGTAAACAGCTAAAGTCGAAAATGATGCAAAAATGCATCTCGAACGGGGTCAAATTTCACCAAGCTAAAGTCTTGAAGGTGATTCATGAAGAATTTAAGTCCCTCTTGATATGCAATGATGGGGTCACTATTCAAGCAGCCGTAGTTCTTGATGCGACCGGTTTTTCGAGATGCTTGGTAAAATACGATAAGCCCTACAATCCCGGTTATCAAGTGGCATACGGGATTCTAGCAGAAGTCGAGGAACACCCGTACGATTTAAACAAAATGTTGTTCATGGACTGGCGAGACTCGCATCTCAACGGAAATAACGAGCTCAAAGAGAGGAACCGAAAGATCCCGACTTTTCTATACGCGATGCCCTTTTCGTCACAAAGGATATTTTTGGAAGAAACTTCTTTAGTGGCGCGTCCAGGCCTATCAATGAGCGATATCCAAGAAAGGATGGTGGCCCGTTTGAGGCATTTGGGCATAAAAGTGAAAAGCATTGAAGAGGATGAACATTGTGTTATACCAATGGGGGGCCCACTCCCGGTTTTGCCTCAGAGGGTGATTGGGATTGGGGGCACGGCTGGTATGGTGCACCCTTCCACGGGGTATATGGTCGCGAGGACTTTAGCGGCTGCTCCTATTGTTGCGAGTGCTATTGTTCGGTACTTGGATAAAAGCAGGGGCATTTTGGGAAATGAACTCTCGGCTGAGGTTTGGAAGGATTTGTGGCCGATCGAGAGGAGAAGGCAGAGGGAGTTTTTCTGTTTCGGGATGGATATTCTGCTGAAGCTCGATTTGGACTCGACGAGGAGGTTTTTCGACGCGTTCTTCGACTTGGAGCCTCGGTTTTGGCACGGGTTTTTATCGTCTAGGCTTTTTTTGCCCGAGCTCGTGCTTTTTGGGCTATCGCTTTTCGGGCACGCGTCGAATGCGTCTCGGTTGGAGATTATGGCCAAAGGTACGGTTCCTTTGGTACATATGATTAACAACTTGTTACGGGATAAATAATATGTGTGTGTGTGTGTGCTCGTTTTTCTTTTGTAATTTATGTATTTGTCATGATTGACTTGTATCGGTGTATGTATACCAATTTACCATGCCCTTTGATTTACAGAGTAATGCAATATAATTTTTTGTTGGAGTTTGATATCAAGTTTCTGCTTTTATGATCTGTTTGATCTCTTTATATGGAATGTGCAAAAAATCTTGAAGTTTTTGCTCATCGCCGGGTTTGGATTTTTCATGAACTCATATTCGGCTTCTGCTGTGAGCCTGTGACAGTAAGTTACAGTTACAGAAAGAAACACAGTCTTAACTTGGCAATTGAAGTTCAAATTCTTGCTCTAACTTTCATTTTGCATCTCATGTATATATTAGTGACATATACATATTGAAAGCCTTGAAGGAAATAATGTTTGAAAAACATAGAAAAAAGGGGTTGAGCTACCGAATATGAAAATAGTAGACGAAGCTTATCCAGTGCATATTTAGCCCTTGCTTGAGAGAAAAAACTCGTGCAGCGAGTGAGACTACAGCAAACTCCTACAATGAGAAGATCATATTCATCGACATTTCGGCCTCACAGTCAACAAGGAACTCAACAAGTTCTTCAGCCGAACATGTGGCAAACGAACTATCTTAACGTGCTTGTGTATGCTAATGGTTCTTGCTTAGTATAGCTTGCTAGTGCTAACTTCTCTATATTGAAACTTGTATGATGAGACATGTAACTGATTTTCTGTTTTTTCATGAAGGATTTGGATTGAATGAATGAACTGACTGGACATGATATTTGTACTTTTTGTCACTTAATGAAGAACCCAAGGCAAAAAGGTTGATTGCCAGTTTGTGATCAAATTGAAGAACCCTTGGCTATATAAGATTAAAAACTTGATTGCTCGTATTTAACTTCATTTTTGCAAACTTAATTAATTGAAATTAGAATATATATATATATATATATATCGGTATTATGTATATCACATGATCATGATGTGTGCATTGTGAAAGTATAAAATAGGTGGACTTAGAAACATTAATGTGGCAAAGGGTTTATCTTTTTGCTGTCTTTCATTATCTTATACTAGTGACATGTGCATTTACACAGATGTAAATAAAGTATGATAAATTATTTGTATACATATAATATTAAAATTATAAGTTAGATAATGATATTATAATTTAAACATAAAGTATTATAAGTTATATTTATGTATATAATATTAAAATTATAAGCTAGATAATGGTATTATGTTTTAAAATTTGATCATTGGTTAAAATAACAGTACATAACAATTTGATTGCATATGAATCACTATATTGATTGCATACAATGTAATAAATAATTTAATTTTAGTAATTTTAAGGGATAATGACCAGTTAATTAACTGAAAATATTAAATTTATTATAACAATTATTTATGAAGTTTTAAATAATTTTACTATGACATTAAAACGATTTAATTTATTTGAAAAACAATCGTTTAATTAGATAAAAAATTATAACATTGATTTTAAAATAAATAACTTTAACAAAAAGTGTTTACAATATAATTTTTATGTTTATGTAACTTTCATATATCATTTAGTGTAAAATATAATTATTAATTTTAATAATAATTATTATATGATACAATAAGAAATACAATATTACTTAATTAATACAAAATGTAACATTTTTGTCATAACTAACAAAAAAAGTGTAAGAAAATATTTTATCATGTGGATTAATGTAGTAATAATAATAATAACAATAATAATAATAATAATAATAA